TTTTAATTTCTTACTTCACTATTCACCGCTGCCCACAGTTTGGTGATGGGATAAAGGTTAAATGGGCTACCTCTACCTATTTTGAAGAAAATAATTCCTTTTCCATAGAGCGCTACTTGAAAAGATTTTCCCTTCTGTCAAAAGGACATTGACTTTATATTTCTTCTGTGTTACTACCAAAAATATAAACCCTTACCTGAAGCTGCACAGTGTTTTAATTGCTAACCGTTTCATATCTATACAGAGTGCTCACCAAGAACCTTTCATCTTGAGGGGTACTACAGGGCTGGAGGGCTAAACCAAAAGGAGGACAAGTAAGGAGTCTGGAGAAAGCATACCCCAGGCAGAGGAACAGCAAGCACAAAGAGCCGAAGATGAAAAGTTTATGTAATACCAACTTGACTTTTGACACTGTCTTGCTCACCAGGAATACAGAAATGAGAACATCAACAGTCCTCATGGTCTGTAGCCTACACATAGTTTCCTAAATATTGTTTATAACTTATTTTCACATAAGCCCTTGCATTACTTTGAGCTTTTCATATTTGATTTCAATTTTCTCAAATTTTGGAAAGAGAAATCTCTTGGGATGTATCTAACCAGTGAAAACTTCTGCACTTAGATTTTCACACAATTGCTTCTATATGCACACCTTTTGGTAACTGCATTCCTCAATTGTTCTTTTGTATAGTAGCTAGAAATACTAAATGCAATATGGATACCTTAAAGAAGTAGAGAAAACAGAATTTTATATAGGTTGTGAAGTATCTGCTTGGAAACAATTTCCACTAAATTTTATTACATTAATATGCTTTCTGGCACTAGGAGAAGTGGCTTTAGTGAACATCTAGGATGTTGGTGTCTCTCTAACTCAAAGGGATCTGCCAAGAGAAATGAGTCTTTCATTTGATGAAGTCAGTATTGTAGCAGTTCCATGAAGAATTACAAAATATTCTGGACTACTTGTTTATTAGCCACAATATAATGCTAAACAAGTTTTAAAGTAATGGATATTGCACTTCTTAAAGTAAAGAAATACTGTAGAATTTCAAATATATTAGCAATAGTCTTTAGGTTAATAAAATCTTGTTACAATGGTACAGGAGGACCCTCTTTATTTTTTATGTTTGCAAACTCTTTGGCAAAGCCTCAGGATTTTTTTTTTGGTGGGGACTTAGTAATGTTTGTCATGTGCTTATGAAATTACAGAATAGATTCAAGTCCAAATGATGACAGGGTAAAAAGGGCTGAGTTAATACTAATTTTACGTAGTATTTGCACAATTTCCCATCAACTCTCAAGGATTCAGGCTGACTAATTAATCCAGTTTGTACAGTTTTGCATTCTGTGATAACACTATGCATTGTAAGGCAAATCCATCTGTTTATATATTTAGACTTGGTGAAATTGGAGGATTCTAGAAGCTAGTTTTAGAATACTTTTCTTTAGATCAGAGACTTCTTTCCACCTGAAAAGAATGGTTGTTTTCATTAAAGACGTAAAAATAATTAGTTATACCCCCCACCACACACACATTAGTTCTATCCTTGAGGCGAAGGATATAGTTTAAGTAAAATTATTATCTTACAATTTAATCTTTGCAATTTCTCCACATTCTCTTTTTCTCTTTTATTTCTCTATTACTTTCTAAAAATTCCTAAATCACATTAATATTTCCTTTATATACTATAGAATTGCCATGCATGTATTAATAATTAGTTGTTATTTTCTAATTATTTGGCTTTCTCTTCATGTTTAAGGTTCTTTCTGGCATTAAGACTTAGGAAGAGTCAGTTAATTCTATCATTTTCCTATGCTAGGAAACTTAAGAACTAGGAATAGCCATTACTTAAATGCTATTTATTAGGAAAGAACTTTGACACTAGAAATACTAATTCTGATACAAAATATAAAGAATTAAAATGAAAAAAGGCACAAGAGATTTTTTAAACAATAAGATTTCAGATCATTTCCCCATATCACGACAATATTTCCAATTCTATTTTTGACTACATTTAAAATTGCTTTTTCCTCATATAAATTCATTCTATGTATTTATGATATAGACACTATCCAGGCTTATTTTTTCTATGGCAATATATAAAGTCAAACTATTTGGTGAAAATGATAGTTTATTTACTTGTTGAGATATAACTCATAGGTAAAAAACTGCTTTGAGAACACTGAGTAGAGAATACCTTAAAAGTGCCCTTGTATAGTACTTACCAATATAGCTGTCATTGCAACAAATTCCACTAATATCGTATGAAAACATAGAATTGAATCATACCAGTTGAAATTCATTTTTTTCTGCACTATGGCCCAATTTAGTATGATAAATAAACATGAGGAAATAATCATTTTTAGTTTGCAATAATAAAATTTCACATTAGGAAGGTTGCATAAAAATGAGGCCTAGTAAGCAGGTTAAAGTGGAACTTGAATGCAATATTTTCATAGGTATAAGTAAGGCCAGAAATATTTAATTTGGAAACCATTTGACTGGAGGTTGTAAAAGGTCAACAGTAGGAAAAAAAACAAAAAACTAGGGCAAATGGTATTCTCCAGTGAGAATCCCAGTGAAGCCAATGGAAAGTTTATGGAAATATCCGAAAGACACATTTGGCCTAGTTCAAAAGCTCTATTAAATTAATAATTTAATACATTGTCCTAGTTAAGTCTTGTCTTTATGGTCCTTTTAACATGATTTTGCCTAGGATTCGTTCATAGCTTGCTTGGAATTTACAGAAAAGTAGATAAGCTAATAAGGGACATTTGATATCTCACTTAACTTCAAAGATACTTTGACTCCCTCACCATCCCCACCCTACAGTGAGGAAAGATCCTATGGAAAGAAATTCATGAATCCAAGAAAAGCTTTGTGATTTTTAATGCCCACAAAGTGGGAAGTATAGATAGATGTAAAATGTATAATTCTGATACTTAGCTTAGGGGAATTTAGTCTCTGAAACAAACTAAACTATATAAAACTGATAGTATCTGATGTTACAAGTTTTGCTACAAGTTTTATTTTCTAATACTGAGTGTATAAATGTCATTGTGGCTGTTTCCTTGTGGTACAAGGAGGAACTAGTAGCCTCTTACTTTCTGTGATCCATATTTATCAAGCCTCTATTTTGGCCTGGTACTGCCTAAGGTACACAGCAGTATACCTTGTCAGTGGTACCAGATTTAGTTTCTGGAAATGCAGGAGCAAAGCATTACTTCATGGCATTTTGGAGTCAGCTGTTAGAGAAATCTGATCTCAGAGAGGTGGACTTTGATAAGTGGCTACCATTGGGTTTCAGACCTATCTTTTCAAGTGGGACCAAGGAGGCTTCCTAGAGACATCTGCTAAGAGAAGAGGAAGTCAGGTGAGACATTCCGCACTCAAAACCACCATAGACTGGGGAGCCAGACCAACTGAGTTCATATTCCTGCTCTATTACTTACCACTTCTGTGACCTTACTTTAATCTCTCTGACCTTCAGGTGCCTCATTCCCCTCCAAATGGACAAAATAACAGGGTTTTGTGAGAATTTAAGAGTTAAAATATTTGGGGGACCAAGAGCATTGTTTTTTGCAGCTTAGCTCTCATTATTATTTTATATTAAGTACTCTCCCTCAGATTTGTTTCTTAGCTCAATACCCTTCCAGTCCCCCACACCCCCAATGAAATAATGTCACAGGGGCTTGTAACGGGGCCCGAATGGGAGAAAGATTATGTGGAAGCACAGGAAGATGAGGTAGAAGCTGAAAGAGCTGCTGCAGTAAAAACTCTGCGAACTCTCCTCTTCCCCACATCATCTAACACTACCTGACGAAAAGTAGAGAGTATTCTCCTCACTCTGCTGCACAACCCTCGATGGGCTTCTGTGCATCATGCGAGCAGTGCCCGGAGGCATCAAGCCACCGCGGCTGATGAGGCAGAGCGCGCGGGGAGCCTGCCAGAGGTGGGGTGCGTGGTTTTGAGGGCTGGAGAAGAGGAATAAAACCAGATGTCACACAGCGACCACTCTCCCTGGTTCCTGAGCACTCCTGAGACATTCCCAGGGGGTGATACGAAACATGATCGAAAACGGGTGGTGGGATGGTGGGGGGTGTTTTAGGAAGTTGACACAAATGTATCAAATCACCAAACACAGTTTTTGCTTGTCTACTACACACCAGGCAGGGTATCAGTGATTGGGGACACGAAGATGCTGAAGACGACCCTGACCTCAAGTCCTTTGTCCGGCTCATCCTCGCGCCCAGACATTTTTACTACCCTATTACGATTTCTGGGGAAGCACAGGCCCAGTCACTCTCTGAGTACACACCAGGGGGACCCATGGTTGGGACTTGGAGGAAAGATGACTACAGGCGTTAGCCTGGCAGAGGGAGATTTCAGATAAAGGGTGCCGTCCAGGGTAAGAAAATGAACTTTTTGTGTCACATTTGCATTTCCATGTCTTAACTAACATTCTCTGAAAATATTGATGGCACAAACGAAGTAAATTCCTGCTTATAACGCAAAAGGGATCACCTACTATGGCTTACGCGTTGAACTAGTCCTAAGATCACCATTTCAGAAATGTCTTAATATTAATGCCGCCAAGAAACCGGCATCTTTCGCAAGAAGCGGGACTGCATTCCTTCGCGCGTAGGGAAAGGAGACGGAACACAATCCCCAGCGCTAGGCCAAGGGGCGGCGCGCTGCGCCCGGGCGCCGCACGTGTCCGCCCGCCGCGCCCCGCCCCCTCCCCATCCCGATCGAGCGGGGTGCGCCAACGCTCGCGAGAGCCCTCTCAGCTTCCACGTTCGCCACGTTCCAAAGAACCGGGACAGACTGGAAAGCCAAAAGCCGCCCTCGCTCACAGGCGTCTGTGTCGCGCCAGAACGGCCCCAAGTCTGCGGGGGGCGGGGAAGCGCATCAGGGTACCGCCACCTCATAGAGGCCGTTGCGATTGGCTCGCGCCCGCCGTCACTCAGGCTTCCGCGGGCGGGGCGAGGCCGGGAAGGGGCGTGGCCGGGGCGGGCGAGCCGCGCGCTCTCGCCTCGGGAGGGAGTCACAGGTCCGGCACACGCGAGGGCCGGGCGCGCGCAGCCGGCACGCGGGTGAAAGTCCTCGGAGGCGCGGCGGGCGGTGCGTAGGCACAGGCTCTGCTGCAGGAGCCGCGGCCCGCACCCGCTCCAGCGCCCGCTGCCGTCAGTGGCCCCAGGCCCGCCGTGTACCCCTGCGCACTGAGGTCCCCACCGGCCCTCGCCAGCCCCCGCGCAGCGTGCGATGGCCCCGCGCAAGAATGCCAAGGGCGGCGGCGGCAATAGCAGCAGCAGTGGCTCCGGCAGCGGCAGCACGAGCGCGGGCAGCAGCGGAGGCAGCAGCAGCCCCGGGCCCCGGAGAGGTCAGAGGCCCTGGGGGTCCGGGGTCCGGGACCGGGCCTTGGGGTGGGACCCCGGGCGGCGGCGGGCGCTGCAGGTCCATCTCCCCAGGTCTCGCCGCGCGCCTCCTTCATCCTCCCCTTCGCTCCTCCTTTGGGCTCGGGGCGGAGGCCGCGCTCGCCAGGCCGGGCCGGCTGGCGGAGCAGGGTACGCGCCCTGGTGTTGGCCAAGTCGGGGAACCCTTTCCTGGCAGTTTCCACACCTGCAGGGCGCAGCCGAGATGGAGGTCATTGATCGACTCTTTCTTGGCTTACTGTGGAATTGAAGATGGGAGTAAGAGAACAATTTATCTTTGCCTTGCATGTTTTGGGGGAGTTTGAAAATGAGCCAAAGTCAGGGAAAGTAAGTTCCTGCCTAACCAGCGGTTTTTCAGTGCAACCCAAAGGAGAGAATATTGGGGGGTGGGGGTGGGGGTGAAGGTGGGGGGGTAGTTGGGAGTGATTTGAATGTTCTTGCAAAAATGTTTTTGCTTTTATGTAGCTTTCTTAACATGTGTTGCAAATGCCTTTAAAATATCACGGAATGCCATGAAATACTGGACGAGTTTCTCTATTTTTACCTTTTTTGCTTAAAAAAATCGATTGGTTATTCACCTTTTTCCTTCCCTATGTGCATACCCAGCAGAGAGAGGACAGATGTTTTAAATCTGTTTCCTCTCATATTTCAGTGGTTCTCGGTTTCTTTTATACTTCCTTTGACTCATTTAGGATATTGAAACTGGAAAACACATGGGTATTGAATGTGAGCTGTAAACTTCACTTGAAATGGTTTAGACCTTTTGTTTGCTGACATCTGTATGTAGTGCAGTCATAAATATGAAGAAAATAAATCAGATAACTATAGTCATACTTCAAAGAACTATTTTAATTACAGCACGTGTCGCTATCTGAAATTGTCTTCTTATTTTCATGTGTATTGTATTTGTCTCATTCTCTCCTCTTCATTTCTTATCCTCAATTCCTGTAATGGTCGTGTCCCATAATAGGTGCTCAAAAAATATTTGATTAGTGAACGTATGAACTTAAATGGTGAAAGTAATGCAGTTAAATCCATTGCACAAATTTACATTCTAAGAACTATTAATACTATTTGTATTCTAAATGGAAAGAAATAAACAGTTTGAAGTGCAAGCATGTTAATTCACCTTTGACGTAAGTAAAAGTTTGTGTTCCTTTTTCACTGGTTTTTAAATGTCAGTTACTTCAACATGTAGAGGAGTAGATTAACTGCCTCAGGTGGCTGGGGCTACCCTTTTTAACATTTCTAAATGAGGAGAGCCCATTGTGAGCCCTATGTGTGAAGCAGAGGAAGCTGACAGACTTGAATGATAATTGTTTCAAAAGTTTTTTGTGGCTATTTACAAGTGAAACATTTCTTTGCTCCATTTTATCGTTTGTGCTTTTGAGTAGAGAACTGATTGCATCTGGGGAAGTCTCTTTATATGGCCTGTTACTGGTGAGAGTTAATAGTGGGAAATGTGTGTCATGTTTCTACCTCAATCAATAAATATTTGAAACATTTTAACAGGCAGCTGGTAAGTTTAGGAAATGTTGTAACCTAAGTTAATTTATCCTGACTGTCATATTCAGGCATTTTAGAGCAAGCTCTGTCCATATATGAGATCCACAGCCTTTTAAACATTTTATGCATTGAATCCATAATTGTCTTGAAATAGACAGAGTATGTAAAAGAAAATATGTGAAAGAGAGAGAAATACCTATGTTACAAAAAAACAAACAAAAAGTTGATGTTGGAGCCCTGTATGTTACGTAATGAGTATTCTTTTTCCGCAGCCATTTTTTTTCAGTAAATAATTGCGTTCTGACTGTGTGCCAGGTAGAAGGCACTAGAATTGGAAACCAGGATTCTTTCCATGATTCCAACCGCAGCAGATACCTCGCAGTGTGAAAGTGTGATTATATTGTTTTCTTATGGCAGTATATACCTGAAAGATAAAGCCAACTTTTATTGCTGTTTTATCTAGTGGTTGAGGTATGGACATTGTGCAAACCATTCCCATCTGCTGGAGAAATAAAAGCTGAAGAATTTTCAGCAGTGCCATTACTGCGCGGCCCTTCTAGTTCCCGGCTCTAGTCATATTGATAAGGAAATTCATGCCCAGAAAGATCGCGTAGTTCGTTGAAGGTGGTTTAGTTCATGGAAACTCCAACTAATTACTGGAATAACCAAGACTAGAACCCAAGTTCTCTGCTAGTCATTCATTTTTCCATACTAATTGAATTTTAGGTTCTCTAATATGTAAAATTTTATGGGAATGGAGAGTTGAACTAGATTATCACGTTTCCTTCTGGCACTTTCTGCATGGCATTAGTACACTTACTTATTGAAGAAAAGTGTGCTTTTGTCATATCATCAGTTAAATATCCTTTCACCAAAATTGTGTTTGAAACAGTATATTTGAAAATCTTAGTTTGAGAAGAAGTACATGGATTCATAGTATTTTAAGATGTTTTGCTCCGAGAATCAGAAGTTGATGGCATTGGTCACATTAAACATTATTATTTTTTATTTTTTGTGTAAAAGTATGGAGTAAAAAGGACGCAGTCCTTTGAAGCATGCATTTTAGGGAAAAGGTGATTTTCTGGCCAGATTGTTTATCTTGGTGGTTATTTCATTGAAAAGTGATATTTGGAAGCTGGAATTATGGGGTTTTATATTACAGAGTTTTTTTAAACCATGTATCTGCTTTTTATTTCCTTCAGCTTAAACCGAAAAATGATAAACTGGTTTTCTACAGAGTTCAATTTCACCTTTTTTAGTTTTATTCTGTATAAAGTAAAAGAAACATGAAGAAACAAGATATCTTAACTTTAATTTGTATATAGAATTTAATTTGCATGGCAAACTGGGACCAGGAGAAGCTTTTTTCAAATTTATTTATTGAAAATTTTTGGTGAAGGATCATGATGTCCTTTTGGACTGATTTTGTAGACACTTACGTATGTAATGTTTTTTGTTGGTTTAGCTTTTCCCTTTCACCCACTCCTTCCCTGTGTCTTCTAGCATGCTTTCTATCTCCCTGTTTATTTTCTGTGGGTGTCCTGCTACTGTATTACACTTGACCGGTAGGTGTCAGTGTAGAACACTGCCCCACTTCGATTTGAAGCTTCAGGTTATATAACAGCAATTAGTTTTATTACTATTGAATATTATTTAACCAATCTGTACATACTCAAAAATATTGATGGACAATTACTTAAAAACTCTTAGCTACTACTGCTTTTTAATTCTCTCAAGGTCTCCAACAGTAGATTTTGAAATTTAGTGGTAAGAATTTATCCCAAACAGCCTTTTTATTTAGGCTTAATTAGAATTAAATATAATTCTGTAAAATAGAATATTCAAAGATTCATTTTATGGGTATGAATCATTTAGAAAAACACTTCTTGGTTTTTTTTTTTTTTTCTTTCTACTTTCAGTGTTGCTTTCATTGTTAAGTAACTGACAGGTACAGTTCACTGCTGGTTGCATTGCAGAGCCCTCACATGAAGGGCCCTAGTGAAACTTCCTTTCTTTAGCCAGAGACTGTCAGTTAGGGCCAGCTGCTTAATCTTCCAGTACTCGTTCTAGGACGGAGAGATAGGAAGTCCGTAATTCTTCCTTAACAAGAATTGTGCCTGTTTCGTGTTCAGTTGAACAGCATTTTATTCAGCCTGGCCAGATCATGTGAAACCATGTACTAAAAAATGGGCTGAGAGGGTTCATGAAGACAATTCTAAAAGACCTGTTAACCTTTGGTGGGCTGGGGAAGTAAAAGAAAGATCTGTATTTTAGTCTTGCTTTGAAATCACCTGAGTCATAGAGATTATTAGCAAATGAATGTATGAGGTTTTCATTTTCAGCAAAGTACCAAGAAACTAACTTGGATAAAGGCTCCTGTAGGCTCTCCACCCTGTTTTTAGTTAGTATCAGCTATTTAACCTCTGGGCTCTGTGGTCCCAAAAGGGAAAAACCTTTTTCTCCAGAAAGGCGTGGTAGTTTGGGAGAGAGAATCTGATGACCTGGATCACATTCATTTAAGAACTGTGTGGCAAGTCGCTCAAAATCTCTAGTCCCAGATTCCTCAAACTGAATTATTCTCTACTTTCAGAGCAGCCCTAAGACCTATTTCATGTGCCTTCATGCTTCTCAGATGTTTCCATTGAAGTGCTTCTAATGATAGGGCTGAATGCAAAACTTTGGAGAATATAAAAGTGTAGATCTGAGCAGGCCGTTGTGTGCTTGGAATTTTTTGATGATTTATTGGATGAAATTTGTTTTGTATTTGGTAGCTTCTGTATTTTAAGTAATATGGATGCTTTTGAGGTAGTGCTTATCCCGTGTCTTTGAGGACCCCTTGATACATTTCTGTCTGCTTTTGGGGGTGTAACTATTTATTTGCCTCAAGTTGCTGATTTGCCCTCTGATTGCTCAGAGGTCTGTAACATTATTTTATATTACCAGGGCTCAGATACATTTTAGTCTTTTGATGCTATTCCAGCCACTGTTGTAACATCATGAAAATAGGCAGCTTAGTTTGAGTCTTGGATACTTCTGCATCACTTCTAAGTGCTTTGACTTCATTCTGTACCAAGGTATAAAAATGTTTTTTAATTAATCTCCCTTTGATAAAACCTGTGTGGACATAGAACCTATCTACAGCTTACCCGAATCTCTGGGGGAAAGCCTCACCCTTCTGTCAGGGGATGTGGAGGTGCAGGAGCTGGCTCATTTGCTGCAGCGTGTGCTGCCCCGGCGTCCGCTCTGCACTGCACACGGGTGAGTGCGTGTCTGCTTCGTGCTGCATCCTGGCCATTGCTATTGGAGGACTAGAGATCCAGGATGTTCATTTCTTACCTCCCTGTGTACCTCTGTAGGGGTGTATTCTGGAGTCCAGCGCTTTACCCTTTTTACTTTCTTCTGGTGCTGCTAGGAGCCAAGATGGTATTTTCTTGTCAGTCAT